GGTTAGAAATTTTTGATAGAATTATTTTTTGACTCAAGTGGTTAGGATTTCGTACTAACAACGTATTATGAACAAAGAGATTTGGGAATTATTTTCTCTGTTTGTAATTCACAAGATATAAGATATATAATACAATATTAGAGTTTAGCTTAGAAATCTAAGTATTCTAAAATCTACTAAGCTATATGAGGTTTCTACCAAAAAAAAGCCAATAGCTTTTACGATTTTACTTTTCATCTTTAAAAAATACAAATTAATATTAAGAAGCAGTAAAATTATTCGAGAAGCAGTACACATGCAGCACCACCGTCCACCGCATGTGACCACAGCAGACAGCACGGCAAATCAACTCATGTGTTCTCGATAATTAAGTTCCGGTTCTGGTAGACTTAATTAATAATCAAAACAACAGACACAAGAGTTGAGCTTCGCCGTTACCTTTCTCGGTAGATCTCCTCGACGGTTTGCTTGACGGCTAGAACGGTAAAGTGGACGGCTCGCCAACACAGATCTGCGGCGATTCAAGCCAGGGTGGTTAGGATGGTTTAACAATTAATCAACCCAGAGACTAAAATCCAGATTTAAGATCACAGGTTTTACCTCTTCGGTGAAGACGATTCACGCGGCGGCTCGAGCTGGACTCGAGTGGTGCTGAGATGGTTTTCACAGACAAGCATCGAGTTAGGGTATGCGAGGCTTACCGTGGTTTATGTGCATTGCCTCAGATTTTGTGACTCCTTTAGTCTTTTTATACGTACGTGAAAAAATAGGGTTTCCCTTGGGTTTATCTTGTTAACAGGCTGGCCCTTTCGGTTCGATTCCAAAACCGGTTTGGTACAAAATTATCAAGAAAATACTGCACTAGTTCAATCCGGTTTTGTTCTATTATATTATTATTCATTATTTTGAGAATCGATGCTTGAATCCATGACCAAATCTCCCTCGTCCAACTCAAGCCGAAGTATACCGACGTTGCAAACGCCGTTCTTGACGGGACAGATTGTGTTAAACCCAAATTATGAGTTCATGCCATTGTCTTAATTAACTAACTAATCTATGAATTTTTAAGAGATATATTGAGTTAGCGAAAGAAAATTCACAGGCCAAGGCCATAGTATTCTTAGATTCACTGATATAAGCAACAAGATTGGAGTCACCAAAATACGTCCATATAAAGGACAAGTCAATAAGGCATGTATATATGCAATCAATGAGAAATACAATTCACATTCTATATTATGTATTTATGTTATATTAACTAGGACTCCGGACCCCCGCGATGTCGCGGGGGAAAATATTTCAAAAATCGTTAAAAAAACATATCAAACGAAAATTAATAATAACGATGGTAGATGATTAAATGTTATAACGATTTATAAAATAAACTTAAAGTTGCAATTTTTCGTGAAATAAACTAAATGTTGCAATGGTTCAACTAAACGGCTGCAATCATTTTATGAAAAATTACGATAAAAAGATGCAACCGTAAAAAATATTTACTCGGATTGCAACTTTCTCAAAACACATAACGTAAAATATTTTTTTTAGTTTAAAAAGAAATAAATGAAATGTTGCGATATATCAAAAGTTGTAGCGGTTCGTCAAGTTCGTCAAATAAACTAAAGATTACAATGGTTCGTAAAACAAAACCAAAAATTGCAATGATTGGTCAAATAAACCAAATGTTTCAACGGTTCAATTAAACGATTACAATCTCATTTAAATGTATTTTGGTAATTAAAAATTAAAAATATTAATTTATGAAAATTATACCGAGAGACGCGGCGGTAGATAATTAGATGTTATAGCAATTTGTAAAATAAACCAAAAGTTGCAATTGTTCGTGAAATACAAAAAATATATATATAAATCAAAGGTTGCAATCGTTCGTGAAATAAACTAAATATATAAATCAAAGATTACAATTGTTTGTGATATAAACTAAAGGTTGCAATTGTTCGTGAAATAAACTAAATATTGCAATAATTCTAATAAAAGGTTGCAACTGTTTATGAAGAGGTACAATAAAAAGAAGCAACCGCATAAGATATTCGGATTGCAATTTTCTAAAAAAACATATCCGTAAAATATAAATTTTAGTTTAAAATTAAAAATATATCCATATGTAAACTATGAAATAAACCAATTTTATATGTTGTTTATTGGTTTACGTAAAAAGAAATTCAATAAAACAACATGACCGTACAAAAATAACTGTAAGCAAAACAACCATAAATATTTAAACGAAAGGGTGCAATAAAAAGACACAACCGTTCAGATGTACAAATGGTATTTATTGGAAACGACATAACCGTAAAAAAAGAACCAATTAAAACGAAAATTACGATAAAAAAACGCAACTAAAATAACCGTAAAAAAATAACCGATTTAAACGAAAGGTTGCGATAAAAAGACGCAACCGTTCAGATGTGCAAATGGTATTTATTAGATTGCTATTATATATAGATTTAGCATATAAAAGTTACAAAATGGAGCAAAAGCTTTAACAAGAAAAGGCATTAGCGGTTTTTTCCGCAACTAAAATTGTAAATTATTTTAAGCAATTTAAGTGGAGCTCTTATTGATTATTTTCAGTGGTCACTAGGTATGAAAAAGCCGATTTCCCTGTGGTCACTAGATGATTCCCTCTTACCCATAATAGTTCACCACATATCTCCATCAAAAATCATACTAATTTTAGATTTTATATAACCATTATAAATTATATTATATATATTATTATATATTTATTAGTAATTTGGTTGAGCTTTTTACTCGGTTGATTTGTGTGACCAAATTTAGCTGTTCATTGTATAATGATCCACACCAACCACCATTCTCATCTTGCAAAACCTCTCCTACCATAGTCAAACCCGGATTTCTACGGGATACACCATTCATCTAAAAAGAGATTATTTCTCCAACATGATATATATAATAAATATTTACATATGTAAATTTAGCAGAAAATGGTCAAAATTAACCCCAACTATTTCTATGCGGCTTTTTTTAACCCAAACTCTGATTCTCTGCACTTATCAACCCGAACCAACATAAATTTCAAATAACAAACCTGAACTATGTAACCGTTAGCCAATTTCAACATAATTTTTTTTGTATTTGTTAATGTCGATTAGAATTGTTAAGTACTCGTAATTATTTGTTTATTTATTTCTGAATCATTTCTTTTATTCAATTGGCTAAATATTACATAATTCATATTTGTTACATTATATAATATCATGTATATGTTAAAATTGGCAAACAGTTATATAGTTCAGGTTTGTTATTTAAAATTATGTGCGTTCGGGTTGATAAGTGCAGAGGGTAAGAGTTTGGGTTGAAAAAACCGCATTGAAATAGTTGGGGTTGATATTGGCCGTTTTCCCGTATATTTAAACGGGTATATTGAATAAAGGATTTGGAGTGAATTCTATTAAAATGACAAATCCTATGCTATTCAAACATCAATTTTATAAAAATTTCTAAAATCAATTGTTATTAGATTAGTGATTTTAAAATGTACAATCAAATCCATTGTTATTGGAAATATTTTAAATAGTGGATTAAAGTCATTTGAGTGACTTTAGGTGAGATTTCAGAGAATTTATTAGTTAAAAATACAAAGATACAAATTTAATGGTTTTACGAGAGATTTGAGAGAATTTTAATAATAAATTTCTTAATTCACCAAAATCATCTCAGAACTCAATAAAATTTAAATCACTCTAAATTCATCATTCGATATATAATATTTTATTAACTTTTTGTTTTTTTTCAAGAAATAAGGAAAACTAACAAAGAAAAAAGAAAAACAATTATATGCTAATTTACGTATGTTATTGATCAATTAGATTTTGACATATATCAAAAACTTTTAATCCATTTAGCTTGGCTATTAACCAACAAACAATTAGTCTTGAAGTTCAAATAAACAATATATGTTGTTTAACACTAATTTAGTTGGTTATACTGTAATTTTATTTGTAAGTGAAAACAAAACAAAACAATGAAAAAGAATGAATTTTAGATTAGTTGGTGAAATTGTTTAGTACATTTTTATTTATTCTTTATTTTATTAATTTTAACGCATTTACAAAAATTATTACTTAAGAGATTACAACGTATAGAAAATATATATATTTAAAATAATGTTGGTTTCCAGAAAACAATATTGGACTAATCATTTCTTTTTTTATTAAATTTGTTTTGTTAGTTTTTATTTATTTTTAATATTAACTAAGATATAGATTTGATATGATACACATATTATTTTTGATATAAAAACTTTAGTTGTTACCCATTAAGATGAAGTGTATAGAATTAAAATTTGTTTTGTTATGATTTAAAAGATACTTAATTTTCAGTAAATTATATTGAAAGATGCAATGTGTAAGATTTAAATCCTGTTTTTTTAAAAAACCTCCAAATAAAATTTTAAAAAGATGTGTGATTACTATTTAGATTTTAAATATTATAAAGAACCTTTAATATTTATTTCTTAAATAAAGTGTATGTAAATAACTCCTTTTCTAACCAAAGATATTTCTCATTAGTTTTCTAAAAATATTTCTAAATAACATTTACTGAGATTTACCTAGTTTGATAAAAATCTGGGGGTGTATTGAATGATGAATTTAGAGTGATTTGAGTTTTATTGAGTTTTGAGATAATTTTGATAAATTTTGGTGAATTAGAAAATTTATTATTAAAATTATCTCAAATCTCACCTAAATCATGAAATTTAAATTATCTGAAATCTCATCTAAAGTCACTCAAATGACTTCAAATCTACTACTTCAAATATTCTCAATAACAATGGATTTGATTGTTCATTTTAAAATCACTAATCCAATAACACTTGATTATAGATAACTTTTTAAAATTCTTGTTTGAATAACATAGAATTTATCATTTAATATAAATCACTCCAAATCCTTTATTCAATGGATGTGTGAGAAGACTCACTTTTCGTTCCCTTTTCTTCGTAGACTCACATACATAAGCTGTTTCATAATAACAAAACCTTAAGAAAATCGCAAATTAGCTTTAGAAAAAAAATTAGAGATGGCGGACGAGAGCTTCACCGACGGTACAAGAGTCCCTAGCAACGACAACAATCCTTGTCAGAAAACCGAAGGAGTAGGCTTAATAAGCTCTTTACCTGATTCTATCCTCCAACATATCCTCTCCTTTATTCCGACCAAGTTAGCCATCAGAACCTCCCTCTTGTCCAAACGATGGAGACATGTATGGTGTGATATACCTTCTCTCTCCTTAGATGATAAGACACTGAGGCCTCTGAAGGCTGCTGCTTCGATAACCCTAAATCGATACACTTCTCTGAAGATGATGAATTTTCATCTCAACACCACAAGGGAGCAGAATATTCCCCATATCAACAGGTGGGTCGAGTTCGCCATATCCCGCAACGTGGAGAATCTTTCCCTGGATTTCTGGCATCCTGGTTCCAGTTACAACTTACAAGTTTGAGATTCCTGATTTCTTCTACGTCAATTCCTCTGTTAAGCAACTCACCATTACGTTAAGCTTTACTGATCTTATGGTTCCCGAATGCTCCTTGTCTTGGACATCCCTGAAGAAGTTGTACTTATGTAATTGTAATCTCTCTGATGAAACCATGGCTAAGATTCTATCTGGTAGTCCCCTTCTCGAAAGCTTAACATTGTATTTCTGCGATCAACTAAGGGTTTTGGATCTTAGCAAATCACTGCGTTTGAGAACGTTGAAAATAAACCGCAACATTTGGGTTCTGGGGCCAACGCATATTGTGGCACCACATATCCATCGTCTCAGATTGACAAACTCTCAGTTACCATGTACGTTTGTTAATCTCTCGTCTTTAGCCGAAGCTAGACTGGACATTTGCATTGTCCCAATAACCCGAATCTTCGAGGCTGATTTTCTTCAAGACATGGTGCTAAAGATGTTAGAAAAGTTGCAGAATGTAGAGAAGCTTACTTTTGAGGGAAACTTTCTTCAAGTATGTACCCTACTTCTTGGATTCTCTAATACCTATATTCTCAGTTGATTGCAAAATCTATCATTTTCGGATGGATTAGTTATTCATTAGAAATTGATTTTCTTTGATTTTTGTTAGATTATATCTCTTGCCGAGGTTCGTGGTGTTCCTTTTCCGATGTTCAAGGTGAAAGATTTGACGCTGGAAACAGTGATATTTCAGTATGTTATTCCTGGTATAGAAAGACTGTTACAAAACTCACCTGATTTAAAGAAGCTAACTATACGCGCAAGGGATACCAACACCATAGGGGTATATATATTTACCATTAATTAGTTAACTGCTTTTTATCTTCCCTGGGCTCTCTCCTAACTTTCACTAAGTTCGAAAATATATCCAAGAACCACTTTTGTATTTTCTTTCTGTTGAGCAGGAGGAGGATATAAACAACTACTTGCAGTTGCAAGGCTTAAACCCAGATCAATGTTGGAGATCAAAAGATGGGGTCTTTTTCAACAATTTACCTTGGTATTTAGAGTCAAAGCACGCGACTTCATTTGTGGAACTTGTGCTTAAAAACACAAAGACATTAGACATAGACAAGATAGTCATACTTTTGAATGAGCGTTACCTTCGGTTTAAGTTTGAAGAGCTGGTCGTTCCAACACTTTCTCATAACAACTTCTCCATTGCGCTCTTAAAGATGCCAATGACATCAAATGATGATGATTGGTAAATCATTTATTCTTTCGAGTCTCATTGAACATTTATTTTTTCTTCGATCATGGGTGTACTTTTATTGATATTAATTAATGAAGGTTTTACATCGAATCTCACTTTAGCATATACTAGAAGAAGGTTTTAATATTTTCTGATCCATAGTACTAGTAATAAATGAAACCTGATTCGACTATTCAGTATCCGGTCCGGTTTCTAAGTTATATTAATGAACAAATTATCTCAAATATATCTTCGACTCCCTTAAAGGCTAGTGAGCTATGAAACTTATCTGATTCAAATCTTAATACTCGGGTCGGGCTAGGAACATATCATGTCTTTTTCTTACCATTAAACTCCTAGCTCTGCTTATGTCAGATATGACCACACCAATAGTTTATGATAAGGATCCAAAAGCATGTGTACTTACGGAATTACTAGGTTTTTGGTAAAATGCTTAAATCCACGTAGAATTGACCCATAAGCCCTAAAGTAGGTTTAGGTTACTATAAATGATTAGTCTAAATAAAAGACTATTTCTAGCCCTAACAATTTGCTCCAACATAATATATAGAAGTTAATTTTTTTTTAATATATTTGTTTGCGAAATGAGTTTTATTTTATTTTATTATTATGACTATGAACCTCCGCAATATCGCGGGAAACTCTTTTTTAACAAATTGTATTTATGTATTAAATTTACAAATATATTTGATTGTGTTTATGTATTAAATTATTCTGATAATATATTCAAATATTTGAATTATTACATAAAATTAACTATTTTTTAAAGTTATATCGTAAATATTTTCTAAAGATGTTAAAAATATTTATGAATAAAATGTAAAAAAGAAGAATTATTATTAAAAACACTTTTGAAACATTTTTTATGAATGTAAAATTATTTATAAGTGACAAAATACATAAAGAAGAGTTATAATATAGAGATGAGAAAATCTAACGGATCAAAACCCAAAATTTTGGATGGAGTCGGTACTCAACACGACTTGTGGGTGACTAAGAACTTTTTCCGAGAATCGGTATTTTTTGTTTGCCCACTATTTTTTAAATATAAAATTGATATTTATTCTATTACATATATTCGAGAAAATAAAAAATTTGATGACGTAAATTACATCTATCACAAACATATAAAAATTTAAAAGATCTCATAAATTTATATTTATGTTGATAAATTAACTGAGTAAAAAAACTTTTTCTTTGAATATTCATGTGACGAATTGGAAGCATTTCTTTTTTACTAGTAATGGAAATGGTTTCTGAATTACTATACCATTTAAAACGGTTTATTTGACGCTTACCACATTTAAAGCGCTCAATCACAAGCGTCACATGAGGATGTCTTCTCCTATTCAGATTTTGTAATAGTGTTAACGCAACATCAGTTTCATTGTATACAACCCATATATATTGTCTTAAGATATAAAGCATTATTATTACCATATAAAATAGTTAAATAAAAAAAAATCACTGTATAATCCATCCAATTCTAAGAAAAAAATTGTTGGTATCTTCATTAGAATTGTATAGTTAAAGTTGATTAAAACTTCTCCATTTTTATAATCATTCCAAAAAAACATTGGTTAGATCAAGAATTAAAGGAATTTCTTTAATATTAAATGATGTATGTTTAAAAATAGTTTAGAGAATAAAGAATTTGGAGCCATTTTACAGATTATTTTTTTTTTGACTCATCGTGAAACAAATAATCTATGTTAAAAAATAAAAATTTAGGAACTACTTAGAAAGAATGAAAAATATATAGAGTTCAAAAGTCACGAACATTTAAATAGACAACTAGTCATATAAAAAGTTGTGACGAAAAAATAAAATGTAATATAATGAAGAGACGTAATTTTAAATGAATAGATGCAACTATAAAGATACAACCGTAAACTCGAAAATATAACAAGGTAGAGAAACAAAAATCTCTGGATTCTCAAGCTTTAAAGACACCAATGTCTTGCTTTTATGTTCACATAAAAGAAATCTGTGAGATACCGGCCGGCGACCAACACATGTGGCTATCCCCACTTCTTCAATCTTGCATTGTGTAAATGGACTTGGCTTAAAGATCATTGAGTTCAACTTTTTCAGGTGTGACCGGTTAAACTTCATAAATATGTTCATGGAACTCACAAAGACTGATCCATTAAGTGGGAACTTCATGACCTTTTAGTTAAGTCCATGAACATTTAACCAAAGATGTCTCTATCGAGTAGATAAAACGCTCGTCTTTGGAATCTTTGATAGGAAGGTTAAAGAGTTTCTTAGTTAGCAAAGAATATGGCAATGCGCTGATTCCATCACTAGAGCATGAGTTTCTCAGTTTATCCCAAATTCTAGGGTTCAAAGTCAGATCAAAATAACTACTTAAACATACAATCGAAGGAAGGAATAATGAAGTCCATTAAATTCTAGGGTTTAGATTCATTCTACTTTGTCAAATTTTTGCTTAGGCCAAAAGGGCAATTCAAAACTTACTGTACATAAAAAGCCTAGAAGGGTCAAAGCATATTACTTGAGGTTTACGGTAACGTTATGCAAACCTAAACGGCCAAAATTTGAAATAGTATTAGTATTAGTTATCATAATAAATCCCACATAATGAATCCCACATAGACCACGTGAACAAGAAACACATAGGGCCATCATAAGGTTCAAAAAAAAAAAACTTTCTCTCTCTCTTCTCTCTCTAAAATTTTTTTAGAGATGAGAGAAACGTTTCCTTTTGCTGACCAGAGTTCTTCTGGTTTTGATGTCCCGATTTAGTCGGGCTTTTGTCCAGCATCTCCGGCTTCCGCAGTCGTGATGGCTGGCCCTCTGTCTGGCATCACCGGCTTCTATAAGCGGCGTTGGCCAGCTTTGCTATTTTAACTCGCCGCCCGGTGTATCCGGCTCGTGTCACGTTTTTTTTACTCGCCGTTTGGCGATTATAAATCTGCTAGTTCCGGTTATAGCTATGCTTTTGTTTAATTGTCTTGATGATGAAGAGTTCCGGTTTGTGAGATGGTTAGATCGTGAGAGTTTTCTCAGATCTACTTCTATCGACTTGTTCTGTTTCACCGTTGGGATTTCTTGTTTTCGGCTCCGGTGGTTTTTCTGGCGAGGTTATGTGTTGATAGCTTTGTTGGATCTGCCGGTTTTCTTCGTTTTAGTTTTCAAGACATTTCTGCGCCTAAGGTACCTGGTCTTTTTTTTTTTTTTTTTTTTTTTTTGTCAAAGGCCTAAGGTACCTGGTCAAAAGCTCAGTTCATGTGCAAATTTGATTTGCCTTTTGCTGTTGTTGCAAAGATTTCAGAGATTCCATTTGATAGGCAAGAGTGGACTTATCAATAAGTATATTGATGTTTTGTCCTTGATACTCGTGATTGCCATAATCGGTGAAAAAGAAAAACAATACGTTGTTCGGCTTAGTTTTTTCCGGCGACGTTCTAAGATTCACTGTGATTTGAAGTCTCATACGGCGGAGGTTGTGGAAGTAACACGTGTCCTCAGCTCATCCTTATCGTTCCGACACGTTCCTTGAGCTGTATCTTTTTCTTGGGCCTATATCTTGGCTGTCGTTTATCTCTCTTTTATGGGCCTTTTTGTGCCTTTTGTAGCTCTGTTTCAGAAGTTGCTCTTGTGACATATCAATAAAACAATACTTATGAGAAAAAAAAAAAAAAAATGAATCCCACATCGGATAGTTTTAAGGACATGATCTAGTATATAATAAGCATGAATAATTGACATAATAACCAAATTGGCTTTGGGGAGAGAAAAGCTTATGATTCTTCTTGTGGGATCATTACCCTTTGACCCAATGAATTAATAACAAATGGGAATAGATGATTCGTTAACGAGAAGAATACCATAAGCCAAAGCCAATTGGTTTTGCTCTTTGAATATAATAAAACTCAGAAATAATTATTTCCGTCGAGAGACAAGAGAATTAAAACTATTGGGAAGAAGGGACAACAATCAAAATGCTTAGTAGAAACTTCATATCAATAGTTCAATTTTGTTGTTGTTGAAATTGGAATCTTTTGCTTTGGTTCAGTTGAGACAAATGGAGGACCTTACTCCTTAGAAAGTATGAGGAGCTTAAAGAAAAAGTGTAGGACCGCGAAATCCCGATTTGAAAACAGAGAGAAAGAACTTTTAGAAAACGATTTGGAAAGAAGAATTTAGAAAACTCGTGAATGCGAGATTTGAAATCTCTTTCCGTAATCGAAACTAGCTCCCGTAGATGAGACGGTTTTATGAGCAGCGGATCGCATGATACAATCACAATAAGACCGTTATCGCTTCACTCGATAGCGGAATCTACGAACTTGATAAAAACGATATACTCTTGAGATTTACTTTGAGAAGAAAGATAGGAGAGAGTTTTGTTGTTGCGTTTTTTGTATGAAAGCGTGAAAAAATGAGAGTGAGAGGTGTTGCTTTTATAGGCGAGAGGAGAAGCAGCTTGATCCGCAAGAGAAGATTCCATTATCCGGTCATTCCAATGACGGACGTCACCGAAAAAGTCGCCGGAAAGTTGGCCGGAGCCACTTGTGTAAAAAATGAGTTCCAACAAAAAGTGCCAAGAACTTATACCATGGGTGAGATTCTAAACTTATTAGATTTTATAAAAATAATAATTTATTTTTTTGGATTTTATAACACTAATAATTTAGTTAACGAGATAATATAGACGGGTTTATATGGGATTACGGGTTTGGGTCAATATTAATAAATAACAGTATATTACGGATGAAATCCTAAAATTAACAATCAAAATACAATTATACAATCTTAAACACAAAACAAAAAAAACAATATTAACAAAACAAATCCAACTTAAATTTAAAAATTTTAGTTATAAAAAAACCGACCCACGGTATACTGCAGAGTAAAATATTCAAAATTTTAAAATCCACCATACATCGTTACTTAAAAAAAAAATATGTTTTCGTATCTTTACTTCTTTTTTTTTGTCGGTTCGTATCTATACTTCAAAAATTGATAGATAGATATCTACATTTAAAAATACAAATTAATATGATATATCTTCAGTTAATCTTTTAAAAAATAACATTACATTTTTTAAAAAAATATAGCCCGCAGGTTAAATTCTAGTTTTATATTATGTACTTATGTTATATTTAGCGTATAAAAGATATAAAATGGAGCAAAAGCTTTAACAGAAAAAATGCATTAGCGGTTTTTTTCCGCAACAAAATTTAAATTATTTTAAGCAATTTAAGTGGAGCTCTTATTGATTATTTTCAGTGGAACGCGTGGTCGTGACTAGATGATTCCTTCTTACCCATAATAGTTCACCACAAATCTCTATCAAAAATCATACTAATTTTAGATTTTATATAACCATTATAAATTATATATTAATAGGTTTATGGTTTGTCATCTGTTATATGTTTTAGTCAACGGTTGTTTAGTTGTATCAAAACTATGTTTCATGTGTAAAATCATTTACATTAACTGAAATTAGAAATACATTCTTAATTACCACACATGAATATATTCGACTATTTGAGATAGAAATTAAAAGAAGCACGTGAGTAGTGGATCAGGCGTTGAAGGCGGCGAGGTTAGGAAGGGCAGGTGACAGTAACAGAGAAAGGCGGTGATCGAGACGTGGCCGGTCCCTGAGATTCACGCCTCCTACTTCACCGTATAGATTTTAAAATTCCTCATTTTAGTTAACTTTATGGTTTTATTATATCACCAAAACTGTTTACTCGATTTATTTTTATTTTTAAAAATATGATAAAAATTGTTGGTGAACAATATAAACATATCGAAGTTGCTACTAGACAAGCACCAAAAAAATAATTGATTTAGCGTCAGTATGTCGACATAACTAACTAACTAATTTATTATTGATCATTTTGTTAAATGAAGATATTGTCATAGTTTTGAAACTGAAAAAGAGACTCTAGGAACCCCAATAAAGATCTTATATAACACTTTGGTTTCAAGAATACGGTGGTACATGCGGAGAAGTTTAAAAGAATTGATTTGGCTATCTATGTCACTAAAGTTCACTTATCTTCTCGGTAAAACGTCCTGAGAGAACTCCACAGTTAAACGTGTTTGAGCTAGAGCAATTTTTCAGGATTGATGACTTTCTGGAAAATAATTGTCGGAACTGTGTGAGTGAGGATAAAACACAAGGAAATATCATTTGGTGATTTATAGGGTCGGTAAACAAATATTTAAAATCTCCCGGACATAGCGGATCGACCGTCGGAAGATAGTGGCCCCACAGTGGCGGATCTAGAATCAAATTCTAATGGGGTCAATATGTTATACGAAAAGAAAATGAAGGATTTAAACATACTTTATGGGGTCAATATAAAGAATTTTAAGCATATTCTCTAATTTACTCTTAAATTTTATTAGCAAATCAGTTAAAATTCAAAACTTGTTGGGGTCAAATGATACCATTGCCACCAACGTAGTTTCGCCACTATGGGTCCACAGACCGAAAGAAGACGTGGAGCCCATTGAAAAAGATGGCGATCGGGACGTTTATATATTAAATGCTAGATGTCACTATATAACACAAATAATCGTTTAATTAGTTCAATTGCTTTCCTCTCACCTCAAACTCTAACTAAAATTTGCATTTTGAATTAAACTTTAGAAGTTTTAAAAGATACTGTTGATGTTTCAAGTAACTTCGCTCGTGTTTTCTTTGGTTGATGCGTATTTACTCCTCGCAACTGATCCTCAACGATATATGTTTTCTTAAAGCGTTGTGGACGCCTAAAACTTTTAACAAACAATTCTAAATTGGAGTACTATTAGACTTACGGAAACTAGAGTTAAATAACAATTATAACCCTTGATTAGAGGAAAGATTGATCCAACATGCAAAACAACATACACGTAAAAAATCTGGTGGAGAGGGTCCACACGTTTGACAACTCAAGTTGTATAGAGACGTACGTGTGCTATTAATCTTATTCTTAGAAATATTGACGATCGAAATAAAGAATCCTAACAATTGTACATACTTAATACATGATAAAAGAAAACAAATATTTCATTACTTGTCTCTTTCTGTCTTCGATCTAATATGCAAATTGCAACTTGATATAAAACTTATAAAACTAGAAGATGATTTGTACATGTGAATCGTGAAAGTTGCTTTTCATTGAAGCCGCCAGTGTTTGAATTGAAGACCAGTTGGGGAAGAGTTTAAAAGTTGACCATTCTCAATCCCAATTTTATAACAATCGTTGAACATATTTTAATAATGTTTTCGTCCCACATCCACATGTAGTGAAACCAATAAAAAACGTCACTTTCAGTGTCGGTAAATCGCCTGATATTTTTTTTCAGAAAATAAAGATCTAATGTCACGTAGGAATAATATAACCCACTGGGATATTAATGACTACAATAACTGAGATATTAAATATCGATGACGAAAAAATCAAGTATCAGTTTTTTTTTCTACAAAAGAGAGGTCAAAATTGTAACGTAAATTGACGCAAGGAAAACAATCATTACAAGTGACGTTTCGTTGTAGGTAATTTAATACTCCCTCTGTCCCATTTTATTAGATGTTTGAACTAAAAGCACAAATATTAAGAAACAATAAATATATTCTCATTTATGAAAATTCAGCCAATAGAAGAAGATACTGCATAATTAAAATAATTAAAAACTATTAAACTAATATTAATCATACATTGAAAGTAGAAAAAATCTTATATAGTGGAACAAATAAAAAGGCCTAAAACATCTTATATATTGGGACAGAGGGAGTATATAAACTATTTGACATTAGAATATTCAAGAAATGGAAGGTAGAAGTAGAACAGCTTGGATTTACATTATTTGTGTCCATAGATCAAACCTACTTATTCGTCCTTGATTTACATGCATGTAATAGAAGGAAACTAGCCAAATTCGTTATATTCATGCTTGAGCTGTAAAGGATATAAAGTAAATCACAATTATACATATTTTAGTTACACTTTTGGGCAATTGATAAAGGACACTAATTCTTTTATATCTATTATTAGTAAAATTCGCGTCGATAGTTTTTTTTTTTTAATGATATTTATGGATCGACAAGGCCCGATCCATAATCAATCTCTATTACATAGGGTAACGCGATTTAGTGGAATTGAACTCCGATGGAAAAAGACGGAATCAAATAGACTTAACCACTTTACTAAAAACACATCCCCGAAGTTTGATATCGATATTTTAACTAGACTTTTAACATTATAGTATTAGTTTAACAAATATAATAATTTTGTATGTTATGATTTACAATTTGAAAAGATTATGTTCTTAGATCCCAAAAAAAATGAATTACCAATTATTAATTATTGGGTTTTATTTTTATTGGATTCTCTTAAACCTTTATGGGTTTTTCATGTAACCACGGTTCACTCAAATATTCGATGTCAAATTTGGTACCAAAAAAGGAAGAAAAATACACAAATAAGATATACCATACCTATTAACAGAAAAAATTACAAACATAGAAATACATTTATTAAAGGAATAAAATAAAAATATAATGTGTAATATAGATATATAATGCATTAATGAAAGACACCTGGTAAGTTCGAGCTTTTTGACGAACGCGGAAAGCGAGATCGAAAAAAAAACAGTTGGATCTTTCCAAATTCCACCGTCTTGTTGTTATATACGTATTCTTAATACCAAAACACTAAACCTCAAAAGAAAAAAAAAAAAGAAGAAGAAGAAGAGGAGCTAAAAACGACGTCGTAGAAGGAGATTCTTGCCATGGCCACACATAGTCTCTCCTTCTTCTTCAGAGTTCTTCTCCTCCTCTTCCTTACTCTCTCAGGTTTCCTCCTTCTCCTTCATTTTTTTTAATAACCGCGAAGTTCGGACCAAAGAGACATGTTTTTTTTGTCTTTAGGACCAGAGCATTCTAATTGTGTTTTGTTTTTTTTTTTTAATAGAGAGAACTAAAGGGCAAGGTGTGGGAATCAACTACGGCCAAATTGCTAACAACCTCCCATCTCCGGCGAGAGTTGCCGTACTTCTCCGATCACTAAACATCACAAGAGTAAAACTCTACGACGCAGATCCAAACGTTCTCTTCTCCTTCTCAAACTCACAAGTCGATTTCATGATCGGTTTAGGCAACGAGTATCTTCAAAACATGTCAACAGATCCAACCAAAGCTCAAGATTGGTTACAACAAAGACTTGAACCACATATCTCAAAAACTCGAATAACTTCAATCGTTGTCGGAAACGAAATCTTCAAGACCAATGATCATGTCCTCATCGAAAACCTTTTACCGGCTATGAAATCGGTTTACGCTGCTTTAACCAATCTTGGTTTAGAGAAACAAGTAACGGTTACTTCAGCTCATTCTTTAGACATTCTTTCAACTTCTTATCCTCCTTCTTCAGGATCATTCAAAGAAGAGTTTATTCAATATCTTCAACCACTTCTTGATTTTCATTCTCAAATCAAATCACCTTTCTTGATTAATGCTTACCCTTTCTTTGCTTATAAAGATAGTCCTAAAGAAGTTCCATTAGAGTATGTTTTGTTTCAACCTAATCAAGGTATGGTTGATCCAAATACTAATCTTCATTATGATAACATGTTGTTTGCTCAAGTTGATGCACTTTACTCTGCCATTAAAACTTTGGGACATACCGATATCGAGGTTCGGATATCGGAAACCGGTTGGCCTTCTAAAGGAGATGAGAATGAGATCGGAGCTTCGCCGGAGAACGCGGCGTTGTATAATGGGAACTTGTTGAAGTTGATTCAGCAGAGGAAAGGAACTCCGGCGAAGCAATCTGTTCCTATTGATGTTTATGTGTTTGCTCTGTTTAATGAGAATCTTAAACCGGGTCCGGTTTCTGAGAGGAATTATGGACTTTTTTACCCGGATGGTAAACCGGTTTACAATGTCGGTATGCAGGGTTATTTACCTGATATTATCTACACTTCAAGGGCAACTACAATCAAGGTAAATCCCCTTTTTTAATTTTTTTTATTAACATTTTTAGTTTCTTTTGTAGATTTTTAAATCTTTAATTTTTGTTTTCGAAATTCACATTTACAGTATCTCAATTGTTTTCGTCATTTGATTGATTTTTTTTTTTAAATCGATTTTGTTTTACGCGGAAGTTTTGTTTTCTAAATTCAGCTCTACATACTTTCCATTATTAAAAATTTTTAAATTTTAATTAAAATAAACAAAAAAAATTCAAAAGTTCTAAAAACAATTGTATAATTTAGAAAATGAATATAGTCATTTATAATTTTGGTCATAGTTGATATATGATATACGTATTATTATCGAATACTACCTCTGTCGTATCAAATTAAATACCAACTACGACCACATTTATGTAAGTCTATATTCAATATGTAGTGTACGCAATAAATATGACAAAATACGAAAGAAACGTCTATATATACAATGACTACTTACTAATACAGTTTTTTCCGTTTTTTTTTTAAAGTTCAAAATTATGTATGAAAATCTTTTAATGGTTGTTTTTTGGTAGTAGATTTGGTTAAAAAGCATAAAGAGTTGTAATCTAGTACAATTTCATTGTATCTATAGACTATAGTCAGATATTTCTTCTATGTTATGATTAAAGTTAAGGAATGTCTATAAGTGATAAGATATTGATAATGTGGTATGTGGATGTTGAATAATTGTGCAGATTTTGAATTTGTGGAGAGCCGTGATGAGTTTGGTTGTGGCTTGGTTTATACTCGATATGGGCGTCAAGATGAGGATGAGATAAGCTTCGCTTGTGTCTTTGTCCTGTCCTTATAGGTTTTTTTGTTTTAATATGTTAGTTGATTATAGGTGAGGTATACAATTCTTTGTCATGTATTGGATTCACAATAATTAAAAAAATTAATTCATTCCTTGACTGGAAAAATGTTTAATTTTTTTGTTTGTTAAATATGCTAAAAACGAAAAAGAATCTGTGAATAAATATACCTTTTATTTAGGTTTTTATGTTTCTGCAACCCAAGTTTCAGTGATAAATAAATAATTAAATACTAAATGTTTCCATCTAGTGATCAACAATTCAACCAACCAATAAATATCCTTGTTTACTTTTTAGCTCAATTATTTTTCTAATACATTGTAAGCCAATTGATGTGATTATGCTAAAAGTATATGTCAATTTCTATTTAAGTTCTTTAATGATACATAACTAAATAATAAATGTATCCATCTAGTGATCCACATTTCAGCCAATCAGTTTAAGCATCCTCATTTTATTTTCTTATAAAATATAGTAAGACAGTTTTTGTAGTTATGCTATTTTTTTGTGTGTGTTACAAAATTAGTATGTTATTAACATACTTAAATTCGGGTCACACCACTTTTGGTTATCTTCAACTTGCAATCATGCATGTGAATCATATCTCGTAATATAAAAAATTGTTCCTCACAACTTCAGCTTCACAAAAGTTAATTAGTACATCAACAATAGTTTAATGATATTGTCAAAAAGTCGGTTTTGTTCCATCAAAAATGTCTCAATCTCTCACCAGTTTCTAAACGTAATTATTAATTAATGAATTTTATAAAGTTTTTCAATGGTTATTAAATTAGTCTACAGTTGCGTAAACCTGTCAATTTAGTCTTCTTCCAACTTTAAGTCGACGTTGATATAGTGGATCCAAATCTGTTTCACTAATTTCCTTTTTATAAATTCGTAAAAAGAATTTTGATTAATTATGTGTGAGTTTATTTCTGATAAGTGAAATAAAACATATAATAATCACATAATGTGGGGAAAATGTTGGGGTTACTTTTTGGATGCTTAAAGACAGCTAATCAATACATGACATGTGGTAGCCACCTTAGCAAAACTACAATGGGTAAAACTGACATGGTGCCAACAGCCTTAAGAATGCGTATTTTTTTTTCTGGAAGGCATTACCATTTCAGTATCTATCAAAAGCACTCTTCGTGTTTTGGTTATACATGAGAGTTTAGTTTAAAGAATGTGCAAAAAGTTAAATAGAAAACGGTAAGAATAATGGATTAATAACCAAATAAAATCAAAAGAGCGATACAATTATATCTTGCAGTCATGAATCCCAACTTTACTTTAGTCGATCTAAATTTTCTGTAGAATTTAAACCTACTTTGCTATTTTATGGTGATCCGCCACCGTGAACATTTCTAGCTCCTCTTCTACTCAAGAACATGCGGTATGTTTCTCCTTTTCTTCGTAACTTCTTTATATTTCCTCTATAAGACATTCAATAATCAAAATCCGCAATCCAACTTCTTCTTTTTTTCGTAGTTTCGGAAATCCTCGCTTGAAATGATACCACACCCTCTACACGTGTTTAAAGCTCCACAACAAACCACCAATATTTGAGTCTCGAACTCGAATTAATTCACCCTGTATTTCAGGTGTCTCTAATGTGATTTTTCTATACACATGCACGAGTGTTTTATTATAATCTTCACTTTCCTAAGAAAAGAAAAAAAGTGAAGAAGAAGATTTGTACGACGACTGTTTTATTTTTCTTCTCATTAGCTATGTATGCCCATTTTTGATCAAAAAAAAAAAAAAAAAAAAAAAAAAAGCTATGTATGCCCATAATATTGTCATTCATGCAAAGCCTTACGTTGGATGAGGAAAATAAGACTAGTTATTTTTTGTGATGTCCATGCATGCGTTTTACCTTTATAGGAAATAGGTTGATGGGTTCCTAACTATGCATGTGTATACATATAACAAACGTATGTACTTGTATAAAAAGAAAAAAAAAGTACATATGAAAACATCTTGCTCGATCTGCCATTATTACACATGCTTTTCCATTTTATAGATTCGAATCTGATACGTTCGAGGTGTCACATTATCAATGCGGTTCTTGGTGAAGTGTCAAGCTGTCATATAAATTATTGGTATAAAGATGTCTTAAAAAGGTCATTTAATTTTATTTCGATTTTTTTTTTCTTGTATCAAACTTTAATTCGAGAGATGTGAAGTCAAAGTATAGTATTGATGAGTACATATACGTTCACGTATTTTTTGGATCACTAAAGTTTTCCACGAAGGTCGTCTATACCCACACACGGCTGTCCTTCCTTTTTATGGGCCTTATGGCTATTATATTTTCTAACTTTCTTTTCCACACATAAAGTTTATTGGATCCGTAATCAGATATAGCCGAAATTTATATCAAAAGCTTGTTGAATTATATAATGTAACTCCATTTTTAGCTATTCTTCTAATTTTTAATTTGGTAACTTCTATCGGATACTGTCATTGTCACTTTTTTTTTCTTTAGTGATCGGACATAGCAACTAACTAATTAACAAAGATACTTTAATGTATAAATAAATTCGTAAAACGAATATTACACGTGTATTCATATATTTAATGGATACTAATTAGTCAGAAAATAAAACATGTACATCATATATATGAAAGCAAGATTAGACATATTGTTGGTGGGTGGTGGCTCTCAATATCATGCAAGTGTGGACCATTGTAACCAGTAAGTAAATATGGTTTCATTCGTTTGTCTTTGGTCTGAAAATTACACTCAACCATCTATATATTTTTGTCGACCTAACCCAACCCAAGTCGAGTCTGGTTTCAAGACTTTTTTAATTTTTTTTGATGAGTTCAATCCACCCATATATGATATATCCCCACCGGCTCTTTGATCTCTGCACATTCGTGAGCAAGAGCATTAAAAACTCAGATAATGAACCTATTGATGTGTCTAGAAAACGATAATCACCAAAGGATCTCCCATTCCAGAGGTTGAAGTTCCAAATCGTTTTCCTCCTCAACGATGGGATGATCTCAGATTAGACCAGCCAAGTGGAGAGAAACACAACGATGATAAGCTCAAACACAAGTAAAAAAGAAATAGAGTTTTCAAAGATGTTTAAAAGTAAACCAACAAATTATTGAGAACAGTTTCAAAGATTGTTCCCATAAATTAATCTACCAAGTGCAACTCAAAAATATAAACTAATATCACAAAGAAAAGGAATAAGCAAATTAACATATCTGCTCAATATTTCTAAGCATACGAAGAACTCTAACACAATACCAAACATGATACACCTTCACACATGTAAATCTTGCATTGTTTTGAATCAGCGGCTATGTTAACAATGTAGACCAAAGAGGGAAAAACAGATTAATCAATAAACGGAAATGTGTAAACTTTACAACAAGTTTCTTCAATTTGTAAACCAAAAATAATTAAGACTCCCGTGATCTGGAAATCAATTTTCATGTAGCTATCATTTTAACAGAGATATTATACTAGTAAAACTCTCCTTCTTCCTCCTCAACCAACAAATAATTGGGCTTATATTCTCTTTCTTATTGTCATTTCTTTTGTATATTCATATAATTTTCTCAAATTTTCTTATATTCTATTTAATTTTTGTCAACTTGTTTATCTTTTCAAAATTTTCAACAAGTCTTATATATTGCATATATAGTCATAAATAATGCATTAGAAAAAACTTAATTAGGTTTTTTTTGAAAAATATTTGACATAAATATATTTTACAATATTAATATTATAAGAATTTTGAATTGGAAAATCTAGAACTACAACAACATTTTAAAGCATATCCTTTTAACTTGTCTGAATCTTGTGAGTTGATGGCGAAAACTGTAACTCAATTGAAATATTGAATCACAAAACACAACTCGAACCAATGTTCATAAAACAAGGATCCACTTCTCATAAGCAAGAGTCTCAAAAACAGAAAGCTCCGTCAAGAATGAGGAGTAGTTTAAGAATTACAAAGAATTTTCAGAGAACCAATGGAGAAGAAAAAGATAACAATCTCAACAACAATTTTTCATGAATGATCCAAATTCTGTTTTGTTTCCCTTTAACACGATTCTCCACTGCTTTTGAGCTTCAAATTATCTCCACCGTCGATCTCAACTTCTAATATCTATCATCCATGTGTCCCTCACTTCTTGACCATTCTATTACTATATAAAATCCTTCCCTCCCAAACAACTATATCCTCATGGTTGAGAAGACGGATGTCCCTGCAACAAATCACAAAGAAACTCCCAAATAGTCTCTATCTCAATGGAGTTGCATCTTCGACTAAAATCCTCCAAGATCCCCAACTCGGTTGTCAAAATTTTACGAATATAGAGCCTTCCAACGATGCCACACATGCTAACTAATTAAGCAATCTCTTGCTCCATAAGAGCTGTGTCCATTTGTCACTATGTTCCCAAACAAAATGTTCATAAAGCACTATAGTACACCAGCTCTATAGGTTTTGGTTTTTAGATTTTAGATTTTGATTTTGGTTTTTGAATTTTGCAAAAGAGAGAAAAATAAAATAAAAAAAAATAAATGGAAAACAAAAAAAGTTTGAATCCACAGCTTTGCTTATAAAAACTAACAAAAATGGGATATTAGATTTGTTAAGAAAATTCTAAAAACTCTCAAAATCTATATTCCCAATTTTGTTAGGAAAACCATTTTTCTCATAATCTTGATTAGATGATTAAATGGTTTTTGAAAATCAAGAAAAGAAACTATTATCCATTCAAGGCCTTCAATATCTCGGGCTGACGATCTATTTTCCCAAGAGAAGTATCGCATCAAAGTTTGAATCCTAAGGCAAAAATAAGTTTTTTTTAAAAAATCCTAAGGCAAAATAATGTGGTCTTATAGTTCAAAAATATAAAATATGTGGCCTAAAAATCAAAAAACAAATTAGTGGCTTTAAGCAAATGCCTTTTTGCCAATACCATAAGCATGCCACTAAATCAAACCAGACATAGTCCAAACTATGACCACGTATTATAGGTCTTCGGAAAAATATTTGCCAACTTATATCTTACCGAATTGATAGTTTCCTTTCTCCGTAAATCTAGGTTT